AGCTCGTCATGACGTTCCAGAATTATGGGCAAGCGCTGTTCAAGCCCATGAAGTAAGTGCCGGGGCTGGTGGGGAGTGAGCTGCGGACGGGCCCGGGGGTCTGTGCCGGGGCTGGGGCTGCAAGCCGGCACTCAGCTTCCGGGGAACACGCAGCGTGTCCCCCAGAGGTGTTCGAGGGTGAACCACGGGGGATCACTGTCGCGTTCTCCCCATCACGGCAAAGCGAGCACCACGGGTCCTGCACCCTCACCAGCCCCCTTCCCTGCTTCCCACCCTCGTCCCTTATGACACAGCCGAGTCCAGATGGGTCGCTTCTGCCCCAGGGGGAGTGCGTGTTTTAAGCAAGGAACCCGAATGTGGGCACCGAAGCGCGCCTCGGAAGGAGGAGGCGACTTTGACCCCTCCCCCACGCCTCAGGGGTCGGCAGGGTTTCCCCGCAAAGGACCGGCCGGTGGATATTTTAGGTTTTGCGGCCGTATGGCCTGTGTCTCAGCTTCTCGGCTCTGCTCTCCCGGCCCGAAAGCGGCCAGACGACATGCCAGCGGCCTGGCCGGTCGGACTGTATAAAGCCTGCGGGTGGGCCGAGAGCCCGGCTGTCGTTTGTCGTGTTCTAGAGAAGATAAAGATTGCTACCAAGATAAGTACCGAAGCACTCGGTGGCCATGGAACTGTGCGGAGATGGTGGGGAAGGGACCTTAGGAAGCCAGTCCACCCTGGGGAAACTCAGGAAGGACGTGTGGACAGACAGAAAGCGTGCGGCCCAGGGCTTGGCTCTCGCACAGCCAAGGCTGTGCCGCCACCTCCCGTCAGTCCCAAAGGAGGCCCCTTTTGCTCTGGCAAGAGAGAGCTTGTGTGTTACAGCGTGGTCGCACCCCCAGGGGGCCGTGCACTCCAGGGGGCCATGCGCTCCCAGGGGGCCATGCACCCCAGGAGGCCGTGCGCCCCAGGGGGCCGTGTGCGGTGTGAGGCTGCACAGCTGGGCCCCGTGGAGGGGCAGCTGTTGCCTCACCAGATCTTGGCCATCTGCCCTGATTTCTAATTTTCTTTTTCTAAAATAATTTACTTTAAAATTACAGTTGGCACATGACATTATGTTAGTTTCAGGTGTACAGCATAGTGGTTAGACGTTTGTGTACCTTGCAGAGTGATCCCCCGGATAAATCTTGTGCCCGTCTGACGCCACACGCAGTTATTACGACATCATCGACCACGTCCCTTCCGCTGTGCTGGACACCCCGTGACTGTGTCGCAACTGCCGATTTGTACTTCTCAATCCCTTCACGTCTTCCACCCTCCCGCCCACCCCTCTCGCAGCTGGCATCCATCAAAACGTTCTCTGTGTCTGTGGTTTTGTTTCTGTTTTGTTGGTTTATTCTGTTCTCTGGGTTCCGCATATAAGTGGAATCATAGGGCATCGGTCTTTCCCTGTCTGACTTACTCCACTCAGCACAGGCCTCTCTGGGTCCGGCCACGTCGTTGCGGACGGCGAGACTCCACTCTCTTTATGGCTGAGGAATATTCCGTCGTGTACCTGTGCCACCCCTTCTACATCCGCTCGCCCTTTGATGGGCACCCGGCTGCCCCCGTATCTCGGCTGCCGTAGACCGTGCTGCGGTGAGCGCATGAACGCGCATGTCCCTTTAAGCACGGCCTCGGGTTTCTGCGGATAAACGCTCAGAAGCGGGACTGCTGAGTCCTTGTTTGTCTCTTAGTGTAGCCTTTGTTGGCAAGTCCATTTTGTCTGACGTAAGTGGTGCTTCCCCGGCCTTCTCGTTCGTTCCCATTTTCATGAAACACCTTGTCCCACCCCCTTGCTCTGCACCTGTGCGTGCCTTTCGATCGGAAGCGAGGCTCTCGTAGGCAGCCTGCGGAAGGGTCTCGTTTCTTACCCGTGCAGCCATCCTGGGTCTTTTGACTGGAGCCTTTAATCCATTTACGTTTGAAGTAATTGTTGACAGATATGTAGTTACTGCCATTTGATTATTCGCATTTTTTTTAATCCTTTTTTTTTTCTTTTTTTTCCTAAAGAAGTCCCTCCAATATTTCCCGGAATGCTGGCTTGGTGGTGATGGCCTCCTTTAGCGTCTTGTCTGGGAAGCTCTTTATCTGTCCTTTGATTCTAAATGGTAGCTTTGCTGGGAAATCTTAGTTGTAGGTCCTGGCTTTTCATCGCTTTGAATATTTCCTGCCAGTCCCCTCTGGCCTGCAAAGTTTCTGCTGAGAAATCAGCGGACAGTCTTATGGGAGCTCCTTTCTAGGTAACTAACTGCTTTTCTCTTGCCGTTTTTAAGATTCTCTCTTTCTCTTTGTCTCTAACTTTTGGCATTTTAATTATGATTTAATTAGGCCTCTTTGGGTCCATCTTGTTTGGGACTCTCCACGTGTCCTTGGCCTGTATGTGGATTTCCTTCACCAGGTTAGGAAAGTTTTCTGCTATTCTTTCTTCAAGTGGTTTTGCAATTCCTTGCTCTCTCTCTTCTCCTTCTGGTGCCCCTATGATGCAGAATTTTTCGGATTTTTTTTCTTGTTGCCGTTCCGCTTGGGTGCCTTCTGCTGCCTCGTCTTTCAAATCGCTGATTTGACCCTCTGCTTCGTCTAATCTGCTCTCGAGTCCTCCTAAGGCGTTCTTCATTTCAGGGGTCGCATTCTTCATTTCTGGCTGTTTTTTTGATGTTTTCCATCTCCACTTCTATGTCTCTTATCTCTCTGTTAAAATGCTCGCTGAGTTCATCTACTCTTCCCCTGAGTTCATCGAGAAGCCTTATCACAAGTGTTTTGAATCTGCATCTGGTAGATGGCTTCTCTCTAATTTGTTTAGTTCGTTTTCTGGAGCTTTGTTCTGTTCTTTCATGTGGGACATGTGTTTTGTGTCCGCATTTTGACTGCCTCTCTGCTTCTTTGTATTAGGTAGGGTTGCCGTGTCTCCTGGTCTTAGTAGAGGGACCTTATGTAGTAGATGTCCTGTGGGGTCCAGTGGCACAGTCTCCCTGGTCGCCTGAGCTGGGTGCTCCAGGCTTGTCCCTTGTATGGGGCATGTGTGCCCTCCTGTTGTAATTGAGCCTTGGCTGCTGTTTGCACATCAGTGGGAGGGACTGACCCTCGGGCTGATTGGTTGTGAGGACTGGCCGGTGCGGGGCTGACCCCACAGAGCAAGATTCACTTTAGCAGGGCTCTGATGTCTGCCCAGTCTGCCCTTCGGGTGTATCGTCCTCAGACGTGGCCCGGGTGGTACTCCAGTTCAATCCAAAGCTGGCCACTGGGTGTGCAGGCAGGGCCTCCTGGGAGGGCCCCGCTGCTGTGTAACTTCAGCCCCAGCCTGTCCCCTGCCTGAGGCCACTTGGCAAGAGTCACCGAGCAATTCACAGATGGCTGCCACCCAGCGCTATGCTTAGAGGTGCCTCAAGAGGCCAAACCATGAACCGAGGCCAGCTGCCGCTAGTTCCAGGCTGGGGGCTGTTCAGCAAGAGGTATGGGGCACGCCAAGGCCAGATGCTGCTTGTTTGGGTTTTGTGAACCTTGGAGAGATTTTAGGAATGTCCACAGCGTGAGCCAAGCTTCCATATGTATGAAAAAGCCACTGAACGGCTTGGGTGGTCTAAGCCGTTGGGTGGGGTGGGATCTCAGGGAAGCACCTGGGCGGGGTGGATGTGTTAGCCAGCTTGATGGACACTCAATATGGCGCTGCCTGCGTCTGCTCCCAGGGAAGGAGAGGGCCCAACACAGGAACCACGCCCTCCACCAGCACTTCTGTCTGGGAGAAAGCCACCCCTCCATTCCTCACCCTGAAGCCAGACAACTTGGTCCCTCCCCGTGTGTCCTTGGCGCTTTTCAAGCTGCTGCCCCAGCACTTGTTCCGGGCTGGAACTCAGAGCGAGTGAGTCCGTCAACAAGTAAGTCCGTGTGTGGCCCCTTTAAGAGGATGCCTGGCACTCCAGCCACCCTTCATGTCACTCAGCCACGATCCCGCTGGTTTTGACAGCCAGAAGTTGTGGGGACTTCTCTTCCCGGCACCGGAACCCCGGGCTGGGGAGCCTGGTGTGGGGCTTTGGCTCCTCGTTCTGTGGGGTGTTGAGAACCTCCACAGTTGAGACATCCCTCCAGATTCTCAACCGCCAGGCGCGGGTGTGCGACCAACCCGTTTCGTGTCTGCATCTCCTACCAGTCTCGAGATGGCCTCTTCTGTGTGTCCCCAGTTGTAGGACTTTTGTTCAACCAGACCTCAGGCGACTCCCAAGGATGGCTGCTCTGTCGTTTAGTTGTAATTTTGATGTGCTCATGAGAGGAGGCAGCGTAGTACCCGCCTACTCCACCATCTTGACCCTCTAATTTTCATTATAAACTAGAAATATGGATTTATTTTTCTGCTCAATCTTCAGATTTTAAGAAGGATGAAAACTAAGTCAGAGGCATTTCAAATACTTTGTGGGTTGAACGAAATACAGCTGCTCGTTCACAGCTATGGTTGAGGCAGGTTTTGTGCCAGGCTCTAATCTGTCTCCTGTTTGCCATTCAGCTGTGATTGTGGAGTGCAGGGCGGGGCTCCCAGCCCCGCATGTCCCGTCTGCCTGGGTTCACCTGTTTTCTGCCAGGCCAGCCTGTGTGTCCTTTGCAAGCCCAGAACCTCCCCACTGGCCATCTGCTTTCTTTCCTTTGGCAAAGACTAGAAATGTGTCTTATGTGTGTGCGTGTGTGTCTGTGTGTGCGTGTGTGCGTGTGCACGTGTGTGTGCGTGTGCGTGCGTGTGCACGTGTGTGCATGTGCGCATGTGCGCATGTGTGTGTGCGTGTGCGTGCGTGTGCACATGTGTGTGCGTGTGTGCGCATGTGTGCGTGTGTGTCTGTGTGTGCACGTGCGTCTGTGTGTGTGTGCGTGTACGTGCGTGCACGTGTGCACGTGTGTGTGTGCGCGTGTGCACGTGTGTGCACATGTGTGCATGTGTGCGTGTGTGTCTGTGTGTCTGTGTGTGCGTGTGCGTGCGTGTGCACGTGTGTCTGCGTGTGTGCGTGTGTGTGTGTGTGCGCTCGCGTGTGTGTCTGCATCTCCCAGAGAAGC